CTATTTATGTATCAAATTCTTTGATCACTAATTATAATGTTTAGTTATAACTTTGCAATCAAAGTTGTTGGTTTTTATCAAATATGTATATGAATTAATACCATTTTTATTTTTATTTTTTATATAATAATACATAAAAGTTGATCTAGATTCGTTATATATTTATAATAAAGTCGTAAAAATATATAAAAAATTCGCTTTGAAGTTTTAAAAAATCAGTTTATTTAGATTTCAGTTTATTTTAATAGCCCGCAGATGTTAAAAAAACAAACAGTCTTCTTTTTTCAGACTGCAGACGTTTGGTCCACCTCTTCTACTGCAGAGGTCTACAGATGTGATCCTCAGACTGCAGACATTTTGCCTCAGAAAAAACAAACAGCACCTAAATAAATAAATTTTTTAGTCTAATTTTTTGAAAGACTATAAACCTAGTAATAAAGAATTAACCATGATATTTTTACCATTGTTGTCCTATACATTTTTTACACCTCAAACAAAAAAGTCCATTTACTACTTACAGCTCAAAAACGTTTCTAATCATTTAGGTCTATCTCAATCTATCTTTCTAAACATTCACCCGCAACATGTGGCCGTTCACTTTATGGTCAAACATACATCAAACTACACAAATCAAATGGGGAAGAGATCGCAAACGATATAGTATCACTAATCAGATATTCGCATTTAACAAACTAAGGAAATACAACCTTGGTTGCACCTTTATACGAAATTCTTCATTTTTGTTTTTACAATTTTTTACACTTAAAATGAAATTTTCGGAAAAATATTAGAATACTGAAGAAACAAAGTTTAAACATTGTTGTTAGTAATCAATGGAAACAAAGTAAAAACAAGAAACTTAACCAGAACAATGGCCGGCTGTTAATTCTCAGATTACAATGTGAATTTGGCGCATGTAAGGAACCATTTCGTAGTAATTTATCTGAATCTCACGCTATAAATATCAATATCAAGAACGTACTCAGATCAGGTATCCCAGTGTCTTCATCTTTCTTGCCAAAGAAGGAACGAAGCTCGATAATAACATGGCCAAGAACGCTTCCTTGTTTGTGAAGATGGCAGCAGTACTCTCACTTTTCCTGTTGCTCGTTGTGTTGTCAGAAAGCAGATTCACCCTAACCGGTAAGTCATTTAGTTTCCAGCTTTTTAAGGTTCGGTGAAACCAATATTTTCAGAGCGTTTTCTTGTTTTTGTATATGTACACATGGATGAATGTTTTGATTAATGGAATCGTGAGCACACAGATGGTGTCCAGAAGGCAAAATCAGCCCTTGTGTGTAGCCAAGTTGTCGGTGTTGAAGCTGGCGATGATTGCACCATCATTAGCAAAGAGTTTGGGATGAGTTTGGCATCGTTTTTGGCAATTAATCCCAACATCAATTGTGAATCGGTCTTTGTGGGTCAATGGGTTTGTATTGACGGAAGTGCCTAATTCTTCAAGCTCGAAAACTAGTGGCATGAAATATCCTAATGAATAAATTTCTGGATAGACTTGCATTTCCTCCAATTTGATGTTGCAGATTTATTTTTACTGCTTAATTTGTACTGCTAATTTAATGTGAGGAAAACGAATCGTCAGATCGATGATTCATTACCTAGAAACTTTGTGGTTTTCAAGCTTTGTGTACGTGACTTTATACTTTATGGGATCGTTGTGTTATTTGACTTAAAAAAAATTAATGCTTGGTAACCAAATTGTTGAAACTTTTTCCCATCTCGGCATCTCATATGGTGAAGATGTTTATTTTGGTTATTGTTGATTAATTTGGTTTAAAACTAGATGGAATTAGCTTCTGGTTTTTTTATTTTTTTATTTTTTTATTTTTTTTTATGGTTATTTGAGAGTGTAATAAGTGAGAGTTATAATGTGGCAGCAAAAAAAAAGTAGAACCCACAAAAAATAATTAGAAATACAAAAAAACTAATTTGAATAGGTAGCAAAATATATAGAAACTCACGAATAGGATAATGACAGTGCTTTAAAATTGTTTCATATAATAGCAACCAACTTTCATTTATAAGTTAAAATGTCAACCTATTTTTACTTCTTTTTACAAATAATAGCACACACATGCTCACACACAACCATACAAATCCTATTTCTTATATTATGGCATTGTACTGTCATAATACAATGTTTAAATAAGAAAATTTTAAAAATTAATAATAAATAAAACTGAAACTAAGGTACTATCATTGACAAAGAAATGAAAGTGTGTGTATATATATATATATATATATATATATATATATATATATATATATATATATATATATATATTAAACAACCAAATATTTTAATTGTTGAAAAAAAAACATTTTCTGGTTTACATGAATGTGAAATATAGGTGTGAGGTTGGATAAGGGCAAAATTGTCATTTTCAAAAATATATTCAATAACGTGCTAGTTTTAACAGACTAGAGATCAGCCATGTCAAAAAAATCAAAACTTAGATGAATAACATATATTAGAGCAAAGCATAGGGACCAAAACTGCAATATATAGCAACCTACTTTCAATTATTTGCAAAAATGGCAACTTACATTCGTTTCTTTTTACAAATAACTATATTAAACTTGGGAGTACACGGAGATATATGAATAGCATCTTTAAGGAAAATAATAAAAAAATATGGAATTGTACTAAGATCTGATAAATATTGTAGAAAAACCAAGTAAATAGTTCTTATTTCTTTTGAATTTGTATCATCTATGCTAAGCCAAATACAGATAAAAAAATAAGAATATAAAATTTACAAAAATGATTTTTATTCCTTCAAAATCATATCAAGATCAATATCATTCTGCAATTCTATTGGTTTCAATGACCTACACGATTCTGCACCTATAATGTGTAAATAAGCTCAGGTATGTTGCTATTTTGGGGACCACAATTTGATGATGTTGTCACGTGTACAAAGATAAAAGAAATAAACACTACCCATCCAGTCTCTAGTGAATGTGAAGGCCCTTAAAAAACCAGTGTTCTAATAATAGACCATCCGATAACCATAAAAAAGGGGACAAAATCGTAGTTTGGGTAAAATGTCCAAAATATGAAGAATTACAAAAATGATTATTCTAATACCTTTCCATTACACAGTAATCCATAAGTACCAATCCATCAGAGCAATGTTCACCCCTTTTGGATAACCTGTTAGAAACTGATATCACAACACCTTCTTTTCCACACCTTATGTGACAAGGTGTTGATGAAAAACTCTAATAATATAAAGTACATGTTAAGCACACATAGATACTTCTGCATAGTTTTGTATCCTAAGGGATCCTACAAAATAGAAACTAAAAAATCAGTCAAGTAAAAAAGGAAGTTAGAAAAGTTGACCCATTAGGACATATCTACCCAAAATTTTTCTTACCCCGTCCTTCTAACCATCTATACACTTTTCCCTTTTCACTCCCCATACAAAACCCCCATGCTACCACTGACAACTATACATCAATAGAGCTTCACATTTAAAAACTAAACCAATAGAGGAATAATAACCAGTTTCTAGAAAAAGAATATACATACCAAAAGTAAAACAGAGGAATCTAAAACTAAAAAGTAAAATTAGTTTCTCTGGTCCTAACAACAAAACAAAAAACAATATTATGCCAAAAACCTATTGAGAAATGACATAACATTTCCAAAATAGATTTAACCATTTAAGAGAAAGAGGAAGAAACATACTTATGGAAATAAATCATATTCTATACTTAGGGCCTAGGATTTAAACCTGTTGAAAAAAAAACTTCTTTTAAGAGAAATAAACAAATATAAAAACATTTAGGCCTAAAAAGCATAAACACTTCTCTTAGATTCATACATTCCTGAAACCCAATTAGGTTGAACTGAACATGAAAAAAATGTGTTCTTATGGATTAGCCTAACCCTTGTGTCATATTGAATTCATATGATTTCCAGAAATTACATTTTTTTGTTATTTGAAAATTTTCAAATTTGAAAGATCTTCCAAAACAACAACAAATATAATTGATGCAAGACAAAGTTTCTTACCAAAAGGAAGAAACAAATATGAATGTAATGCTAGTTGTTAACACATACATTATCTTTTGGTTAACATGTTAAAAGATTCCCAATGGAGTCGAAATCCGGTTGCTTCTTTTAAAGCTTGGCTAGCTTTTGTATCCTCTTGAGTGTCTTCTTAATATCTGTATCAGCTGGTAATAAGGTACCTATGTGAAAAGATCTTCACATACATAATTAGTAACGCCGTGTCTCAGCAACAACACCAATTTGTTAGGTGTGTTGAACCCAAAAAAATAATAGGGGTACTATAGACTCAAAATACACTACCTCAATGCACTAAAAAATAGTACAAGGCAAGCATGGTCGATCCTCAAAGACATGTGATAAAAGTCTACACCTCTTCACACAAGGTAATTTGGTTACTAAAAAGGGGGCTTGTTTGCAAAATGTTAAATGATGGAAATAACAATCTACTTTAAGAACAAGCAGAAGCTGAAGTAGATTTGTAAGCAACAAGTTAAATGGTTCTAGTTCCAATATCAATGTTATCATTCAATTTGTTTATGTCATGATGCAATTCATGATTACTATACTACATTGGTAGTGAAAGATACTAACACACTCTAATACATCTCGCTTGCCAAATTATATAGTTAAAACAAGCTCTTTGAATAGACATAACTTCAATAATTCAACCTAAACATGCTCTTAGATTGTATTGAAAAACCATATTAAGTTTTGTACAAGCTTCCCACCAATGTCCATTTCTTCTCACATGGTTGGAAGTGTGAAAACATGTGATATATATTCGACAATAAGAAAATCTATTGTTTGTTACTAATGATTAACTTCATAAAACAATTAGGTGCTCTAAAAGTTAACTAACTACACAAGAATTCAATTCATAAAAGTAGTCAATCAAACAAATCAAATTCAAGGATTCTAGTTTAAACAAGAACGTAGTCACTAGAATAGAATCATAAATCAAACATAAAGCCATATGTATCAAATCAAACAATTAATATGTTTTGAGCAAGAACTAACAATTACGGTTTCTTAGCAACACATGGCTAAGAACAAATCAAACAAAAAGATGGAATTGGAAGTGTTTAATGCTTACAAATGGAAATCAAAAGTGTTTGGAATGATTAAAAGTCTTCAAAAGCTCCAAAAATCTCCTTCTCTACTCTCAAAACCGTTCCTTTCTGTAAAATGATTGAGTTCTTCCTTTCTAGTGCAAGAAATAACTGCTAATGTGTTTGACTCAAGACCATGCATTTTTGGCAAGGCCATGTGTTTTCAGCATATGACTATATGTTTTGAATCAGCATGTGCTTTTCGCTAAGACTTCAACCAGTCTTCAAACTTTGCTCTCTTTTCGGTCTAGTTTCAAGCCAAGTCATGTTGCTCAAATATATGATGAAAAAGAAAAACAAGACCCATGTCGATGTGACACGGACCATGTATCAAATGTGGTCCTTTGCTATGATGAAATCCAACTACTCAGTTTATGTCTTCAAGTTTTCTTCCATGACCCAAGCAATCCATCTTATCTTCATGCTCCAATTCTCCAAGCTCCATCATCTAACCTCCATGATCGTCTCTATAGCTCCAATGCGCCGTGCTCCATAATAGGTAGAAAATAAATAAAAAATAGTTAAGTACTAGCATTCTGAATAAAACATGCAAGTGCCCAAATATTTAACTAAATTCAAGAATTAGGAAGTGAAATGAAATCAAAAGGCATAAATAGACGTGCAAAATAAGTGCACAAATTGCACCTAACAATTCTTCATCATATTCAGAATAGAATATGTTGTTTTTGGAAATGGTAATTATCTAAATATTTTATAGATTAATGGCAAATCTTGAGTCACCCATAAAATTAAAATAATAGATATCCTTACTATAGACTCTCCAATGTAGGTTTTATTTTCTAACTATTTTATGTCATTCAGAATCGAGTCACACAAAAAATTCTAACAAAAGGAAGTTGTGTACAAGGGCTTTACGTTCTTGATCTAGGACAAGAGGAATTTCTAGTAGCATTAGAAACCAAGAAACTAAATTCCTCTTATAAGTTTCGAATAGTACATTGAGTCACATAGATTTGATATTATTTTGTTACTGAATAAGTTTGGGCATTTTTCTCTTAGTTCCATTCTCCCTAAATGAAATATTTGTTTATCTTTTGTGCTTTCTAAATTAAACACTTAAAGTTTGATAATAACTTAAAACATTTGTTAAATGTATAGAATTTGATAAAATGTGACTTATTAGGCCTCACTAGTATTGCCTCATCGTAAGGCTACTTATAGTATGTCATTTTTGTTAGTGATAATTTGAGCTTTACCTGGTTCTATGCACTAAAGGAAAAATCCAAATTTTATGATATACCCATTAATTTCTTAACCTTTGTGAGAACACAATTTTCTTGAAAGATTAACAATTTTCAATTCGATAGTGGTACTGAATTTCTCAACGACAACACTTGTACCATTCTTATTATTAATAGTTCTCTTCATCATATTGCGTGCCCTACAAACCTTAGCAAGTGGTTGGGCTGAGGAAATGCATCACAATATTAAAATCATGTCTTGTTATGTTTTTCAAAGCTCACCCCAACATATATTTGGGTTATTTCCTTTAGTATGCCTACATATAATATTATTCATCTAATATT